AGGGATTGGTGAGAGCTTTTCAGAAAGTCTGTTTTAATGAGCCTCAGATAATTAAATGTTATTTCAGAGCTCTGTGGTCAGATTGATGTCTCAGAAAACTGAGGCTCAGTGATCTGTCTTTTGCTTTTCTTATTTACGAAATAAACATCTTTTTTTTTTCTCTTTGCTATCGTAATGTACATCAAACCTGACTTGCATAGCCTAATAAAGCTTGCTGCATGCGGCGGGGTGTTTTAGTCCCTTTTTTTTTTAATTGGAGAAAAGAGTGTCTGGGTCTATTTGTGGTCTGGTGCGATGTTGGAAATGCCAGCTGTCGTGCATCAAAGCCTCATTGGAACAAGCCGTTATTTGCGCACATCCCTGCAACTTGTTGAAATAAATCACTGACTATGTTTTGATAAAAACACAATTTTTTCCCCCTTAATTTAAAACCAACCCTGCGTGGACATTTAATCAATAATGTTAAAAAGTATGCTTTAATCTCCATGAAAGCCCGACGTGACCAGACCACAGTAAGGAATCACACCTAACAGATGCACATTTTTCTCTAAAATAATTCACTTTGTTGTGGAAAAATATGTTGAAGCTCTTTTTTGCAATTATTTCCAGGCTTCTGTGAGAAGAGCAAGAAGAAATCCTCAACACCTTCCAGAGTTGTGACTGACAGCTGTGGCTGGTTAAGAGAGCCGCTGGCCAAGCCCCATCACGTAACACATGCCCGACATGTCTATGTCCATCTGGGGTCCTACCCTTCAAACCCCAGCACCCTCGCTCTCTGCCGGCAGAGAGACCGAGGGACAAGAGGAGGAAGAGGGTGTGAAGAAGACAGGCCTCTCAGGGCTCGGAGGGGAAGCATCCAAAGCCAGCTGGTCTGGCTTTGAGGTAAATCGAAAGGCGGAGTGAAAACAAAGGCGTCTGAGAGAAGATAGAGAAAGTCAAGACTTGCAGAGGGAAGAGAAAGAGATTGGAACAGCAGGATCTTTGAAAGCAACAACAAACAGGTGAGACCCAGGTGTCAGGAAAGGTCTCGATTACTTACACTTCATTGATATGTAATGACACCTACAACTTGTGTAATTTCATGATTGCTCAGATGAGTCTTATACATTATTGTGTCTTTTGTGTGATTGTGTGACCAAATGCACTGTAAAATCAGTTCAGGTGAAACTTAATTAGCGGATGCTAAATAAATGAAGTTGCATATTAACTCACACAACTGTTTTTGTGTTGCTGGCATCACTGTGGGAGGATGGGAGGGATGCATGTCGACACAAAAGTGCTGCTAAAGGAGATGCTGAGAGCAATTTGGAGCCTCTCTGTTGTCAGTTGGCATCAGCCTGAACTCACTAGGAACCAGTGCACAGCAGAAACTTTCCTGACTGAGAAACACTTCAAGAAAACAGCTGGGGACTGTTTCTGTCTGATTCTCTATTGTCACGACTATTGTCACTAACACAGAAGGAAATAACACGCATGTGTATGATGATAAACAGAGAACAGCAGTCAAGTTGTTTTCACTGGGAAAAAAAAAAAGTTTCATGCTGAACCACTTTTCCTTACTGTAAAAGGCTTTCACTTGCAAATAGAAAACAAAAAAGAAAAACGTTGCTTATTACTAAGATACTTTTCTCAAGTGATGATACAGCAGTTTGAATGGGCCTATGTGTTTGTGTAGCATGTGTCCCAATAACAGTCAGTTGCAATTACTCCTCTGAGTTACAGTAATAAGATTCTGAAATGAAAAACGTATTCAAATTAAAAATCATCTCAATTCGATGGACATTGTCTTCCCTGTGTATAACATGAAAAGATGAATGAGTGCTGAGTTTGTACGACGCCATTTCTTTTTTTCTGATAATCTCAGAAAGCAGATTTTTTTGGGGGGCATTGGAATGTACATTTAAAGGAGCGTACATGCATGAGGTGCTGGGCTTTGAAGAGAAGTTATAATAGCTGGTGTTGCTCTACATTTTTGTCACATGTTGCAGAAAGAAATGTGTTTTTGATGTACATTTTGTGGTAGTTATTTTTGTACCACAGAAGCACATTTGGTCTCAAAATTTGTTTTTCTTTTTCCCCCCATTAAAGTTTTCTAACTAATCTAAAGATTGCAGTTATGTTTACAAGTGAAAAATTGGCTGAATTCTTATTTAATCATGAATGGAAAGAAAGATATATAAAAAGGAACTTAAAGAACATAGGGCAACAAATAACATTCAAAAGCTACTGTGCATGTCGCTAAATAATAATAATATGTTGCCCAACAATTTATCTGCATTCTTAGGTGTGTGTGCGTGCGTGCGTGTTTGTGTGTGTGACACACTGTAAATCAATCATTACTGTGACTACAATAAAGACAATAACAGTAGTTTTATATTTACACTATGAGTTGTTTTTCTTTTCCTTTGTATTCACATCATTTGTGACTCTCTCATGATTTCTCTTTACCATGCAGATATGGACAATGGCCTTTATGTCTCTCCTGACCTGTTAAAACCTGGCAGGTGGAACTCTTGAGTGCTATAACAGTATTTGCTGGAGCAGTTTACACAGTCAAACAAACAGGGTCACCAATTCTCAAGTTAACTGCGGAGAGTCCACCCACATAGCCTCATGTGGCTGTTAAGTGTACACTTTTTTAACCCGGACAGAACATGGCCAAGAGACAGGAGCCCTGATAATGGACACTAACTTTAATAACTTTAAGCCCATATCGTTGAAACTCAACCAGTTTGTAGCAAAAACCAATACACAGAATGGAATAAGACCATTGTGAATTTGACTTACGTTTAATGGATTGGTTGTCAATGCAGAAAGCAGCCTTCAGTTGCCAGTATTCACAGTTGTTTCTTCCTCGGCATAGAGCACTGAAGAATACTCAAGAATGAGGACTGAAGTCTGAGTTACTGGTAAAAAAGGACAGTGTTGTACTAGATTAATAAAAATGAGCTACACACTGCAGCAGACATACAACATTTAGGATCTAATAAACAGGATCTAATTAGTAGAGGAGGTCTATGTCTTGTTTTACTATTCAGACAGGGATGTTGTACCATCAAATTACTGATTCAAGATACCAGATTGCTCTGACTACTCAACATAGACAGAGATGTGTGTGTATTTAGGCACAAAGTTAGTCTGCTATGCTTTGTACTATCACATTTTAAATAGTATTTAAAGTTTCAATTAAGTACTGTAACTTTATCTAGTTTTTGTAACGACATCTCAACCCAGATGCACCTCAGCTACCCTGAAATGAATGGTTTAGGTTTGCTAGAGCTAAAGAAGGAAAAACCCTGATTTTCAGCAACAAGGCTAAAAAAAAAAAAAAAAAAAAAAAAAAAAAAATCACCCACTAATAGTTTTTTGCTGCTCCAAATAAAAAATAATCTTACTGTTCAAATGGGTGATAACAGATGGTGAGTAGCCTACTTTAAGAGCATGAGTCGCTGGTTGTGAAACTACTCTCACTGCCTAATTAAATTTATGTAGCCTACACTACTGCAGTAGTAAGTAGCCTACAGGAAGCAACAAAACAAAGTAAAGTTCATTATGTATAATCTTACTGATGAAAACTAGAATTATCAACAAAAATTACTAAACTATCAACAGAATAGAATAGAATAAATGTTTATTACCTTTTGCACAGGTACAGGTACAGGACAGGTACATTGGAATTTGTTGTGCGATTCTCCCTGAGTCAGCTTCTACAAAAAAGTTAAAATTATATATAAACTAGAATAGCAACAGTTAAACAGTACTCACTCATTAAGGGTGTAAGAGCAATTTGATGTTGAAATTTGTCAAGTTGGAACTGTACTGACCACTTTCAATTGTCTTTTCTAACAATTTATAAGCCTTACTTTAGAGTTCCTTACTTTACTTACTTGAGACAAATATTTATTTTTAAACATCGTTTTATATTAGGATAATGTTTCCCTGCTCAGTGTTGTGGAGTAGAAGAACAAAATGTGCAGAAAATAGAACTTTAGTAAACCGTAGTTTATTTGGCCTACCTCGATTAACCTCTACCAACTTGTGTAAACAAGCCACGTTTAATAAAAACAGGTAACCCTGGCCTATATTTGTAGTTTTATACTACTGATTGGATTTCTTCGAAATAGTCTGATTGCTCATGTGCTCGTAGTAGGCCATATCTTAACCTGACCTCACCATCATCCAATCCAAATATAAAACTGAAACAGCAGCTGATAATCGTGCGAAATAGCTCTCTCTCGCCCTTGCCTCCAGAAGACGGTAAAGCCTGTCCAGTAGGCTCCACCAGTTACCACACCTCCTCCTGTGATCCTCGCATGTACACGTGACCAACTCATATGTGGGTGACACGAGTCCCCGCCTTCTTCCTCTAATTGGCAGCTCAACAGACGCTGCAGCTTTTGATTGGCCCAGGGAGACGTCCTTCGAATCAAATTCCTTTTTGCCGTTGTCTTAGAGATATGACGTCAAATGTAACTAATGTGATGAGGCCGAGCGGAGTAATTTGGACAAGTAGCTGTTTTGTCCAGATGTAGTCTGTCTTGAAGAAACAGATTTTTGAAAAAAAAATGACAATTGTTTCTTTTTTTGAGATGGTTGTATTTGCATTAGTCGTTCCTATCGATTAGCTCTGCCAAAAGTTTCTAGAAGTTTGGTTTGTTTATATCCTATATTTCCCCATTTAAAGTGAGCTGTCATTCTAAGGACTATGAAACGAATCAGCAGTTAATGGAAAGCAACTAAGCAAGGTTACAATAACAGGCATGCTGTAAAGCAGGCTATGTGCTACCTACTGTATATGAAGCCATTCTCACTATTTGCGTTTTTCCAATATAGGCTACTCCTGGGACTTTCACTACTTTTGTAATGTTTTGACGGCGGAGTGTGCGCTTGTGTCTCTCTCTCTGTGTGTGTGTGTGTGTGTGTGTGTGTGTGTTCCTGACAGAGTTAGGGAGAGAGAGGGAGGGAGGGAGGGAGCAGCTCGTCAGATAAGGGGAGGAGTCTTTCACTGACAAGAGGGAGAAGGCTTTTTCTGAGTTTGTCAGCTCCCCCTAAAATAGCAGTCAGCGTGTAAATGTGAACTGAAATTACGCTTATCCACTGGAGCCACCGATATAGAGTTGTCTATAGGCTTCTCGGCGTCTGACTCGGGAGTAAAGGTGAGTAACGGAAATAGAAACAATGTTACGGAGAGTGTGGCAGCGCGGCATTGTAGCGACAGAGAGAGTGAGAGTAGAAAAGCGCAAGAGGGAGACGTAGAGTGGATTTGGGAGACGGGAGACATTAACTGTATATCTCCTAATCTGTTTGTTCTTTCTATTTACCGGGGTACATGTAGAAAATACGACACAGCACGACTACGAAAAGCCGTTTAGTGTCACTTCAGAGGCTATGTTTGAGTTATTAGTCAAGCCTTTGATGTCGCACTACGTTTGATCATTTTAAAGGGCGCTGTTGATATCAGAGAATCAGGAGAAACTTTTTAAAAAAGGAATCTTCCTAAACCTAACACGTCGCTGAAATGCCTTTAGTATTGCTCTTAAGTGATGGTTTAAATGTGAATTATGTGATTCTTAAAACTCCCAAAAGATTTCAACGTGGGACTGAAAGAGTGGACTTGTTAAACAAACGCATCGTGCGGAGCAAAAATAGTAATCAATGTGTTGATACTGTTGAGCTACAGCAGCAGGGTACAGTTCTCAAAGTGAATTATCATTTAAGTTTTATGTCTCATACCGGGGCTACAACAAAGTTTTATGTTTACATGCAACTTTTAAAAACGTGTAAAACAGCCTGAGGTATTTTAACTTAAATAAAATGTAGATTAAATCAATCTTAAATTAAGGACTTTGGCAAGAAAAGGTTGCCAGTTTTCATAATTGCTTGAAGTTAATTATAGTGGAAATGTAGATGGTGTTGGACAGTCACTGCACATTAACACCATCGTGCTTGTTTATCACCATACATGTTGTTGCAAGTGTTGTAACTATGTCATACAATGATATAATCAACCATAAAGGGAGTCCACTTTTCTAAGCACAAGTCATTACTTGTACATTTTACCATGCTATTTGAATGCTATACAGTGCTTTGCCTCTGATCTCCTTATTTTAAAGTAAACCAGTCTTTACTTTATAAGAGAGGTTGGATGATAGTGGTTTATGAATGGTTCATGATGTTTGTGAAATAGTAGTTATTTTGATACTTTCTCCATAAAAAAATGAATAAAAACTGCTTTTAAAATCTCATAAAGTGATATGCTATGGAACAATGTACAATATGTTTGTAATAATCTGTATCGGTAGCTTGATATGAGAGCTTTTGAGAGAGAGGATCTGTGCTGTGTGACAGTTCTTTGAATCTCCGCGACTCCTATGACCTTAAGCCTTGGCCAGTGAAGGCAACAGCCAGCAGTAACCTGACCTTCTCAAATGTTTTCGAGTGAATGTGTACAACACACGTCTCGTTAAATATTGTACTGAAGGAGTCCTTTTTATTATTGAAGTTGTATTTTGTGACCTCCTTTTTTTTTTAACAACTTAAATTTGGATTATAGGTTTAATTGAGAAAAGATTACATCATTGCATCTATGTGGTGGTTTGGTGTTATTCTACGGGTAAAATCACATTTGATCTATTTTGACAAATTCAAACTGTGTATCAACAACCTCAAAAGGTTTTTATACTCTGCCTTAACCCTGATATTTAGTATTCTATCACTTACAGTATGTTCTAAGTCCAGTTAATGACATATATTGTTAAAGTAGTCCTTCAGGGATCAGTTGTTTCAGACGTATTACTTGTATTTTTCACTGCACATTCCATGTTATGGCGGCGTGTACATTAGCAGCTGGTTGCCAGTGATTTCTAAAGCAAAGGCAGTAAAGCACCCTCCAATCTGCAGTCATTAGCTTCTGTGCAGCTCGGGGCCTGGCCTGTAATGGGCCTTGTTGCTCATGATCCACATCACGTGAGCTCTTATGTCTAATGTGTGGATGAGGGCTTCTTTCAGTACCGCTCAAATGAATATCATTTTAACAATTTATGTTGTCTATTAGTCAGAGGAATGAATATGATGTCTGTGAAGGCACAGCTAGAGCCAGTATTAACGTCTCTCTTATGCATGTATTGAACTGTTGCTCTAACCTCAGAGACCCCAAATGTTCTACTTTCGTATTACTCAAGCGCACACACGCACACACACACACACACACACACACACACACACACACACACACACACACACACAGAGGTTTGAGTATTTATCTATTAGATCTCCCTCTGCATCATCTCATCAACAATATTTTGATGAAGGATGGCAAGCTAAATGGATGATTTTCCCACGATGACTACCTCTGTTTACGCAACGTTTTAGCCTTGTTACATGTTGTGTTTGTGTGCCCCCCTGCATGTCTCTGTAAATGTGCGTAAGTGCTTGTTAGTGTCTTAGCACAAGTTCTCAACGGAAAGGGAGAAATATGAGGTGGTGACGGTGTGAGGAACGGGCAGCTGCAGCATCTTTTACTGCACTTCTCATCCCACTTCAATCTCAGTGTCTCAGCTTCTCCTTCCAGGAGAAATGTGGAGTGTGTGGGCGAGTCGGATCTGCAATTAACGCTGGTTGTCAGAAAGAGAATGCTGGCGTTTACTCGATGCCTCTGAATCACTGAGTGAAAGTCTTTCTCCTCCACCCTCCTCCTCCCAGGACATTTCTGATTTCCAAGAAGGACAAAACACCAGAAAGCTGAAAGCCAAGGATGTATTGAATTAAAAAAACAAGACAGATTCTGAATATTCTTGGTCTGATAAAGAGGATAGTGTATCTTTTATTGTTTGGTAAGCCAGTATATTCCTTTTTTTAACTATAAATTTACTTATAAAATGACTGCAGTTTTGCATTTTACGATTTTTAAAGTTGTTTCAATGTGATTGTGACTATTTAAAAAATCCTTTTTGCCTTACCTTTTGTTCCAACATTGACTTGCTGTTGTCTAAAAGCTGAAGTTCAGTCGTCTGACAATGAGTGTGTCCTGGCTGGTTTCATTAATGAAACTTCTTTATAAATGGTTCTTAAACATCAGAGTTTGCATTAGTTCAAAGGCAAATGCATTGAGCCGAGAGAGGCAGTTTATGAATTTAATATTCATAATATTTACTTTTTTTTTTTTCCAACATCACTCAGAAACAAAGTGAGTGTCAGTTTCACATTGAAACTATTCAACCTCTCTTTAACTAACAAACGCATCTTAGCAACATGATTCATTGTTTATTGGAGCGCTATCATCAATATGGAGATTCCAGCGTTTTCCTGTGAGACCTGGAGGTTGGATGCAGAATTTGGAGCCTTGCAGATAATGTTTTAGACCGCAGTTAACTGTAGACTGTCCCTGGTAGACTAAAGGGAAAAGTCTTGTGCTGCCCTTTTTGTGCAAACCTGTACTGAAATTTATGGCTGAGACTTTTTGAGTTTTGATCAAGGCAAGAGACAAGTTGTTTGAAGTTTCTTTTGATTTGGTTAATGCTTTAAAAGGTCATGTTGGGCCTTTGATTTTACCTGCTACATGGCTTTGGTTTTGGATGGTGTTCCTGGCTGTCTCTGTTTGGTACAAGTGTGTGCGGTGTGCATTAGCCATTGGTATGAGTGTGAACTGTGGGTGTCAAGAAAGCCTCAACTTGGGGCGCGCTGGTGACGCAGTGGTTAGGGCGCGCGTCACAAGTATTGAGACTCTCGTCTCGAGTGGTAGGCCCGGGTTCGCTTCCACCCGTGGCCCCTTTCCGCATGTCATTCCCCGCTCTCTCTCCCTGGTTTCCAACTCTGTCCACTGTCCTCTCTCTGCATTAAAGGCACAAAAATCCCCCCCCCCAAAAAAAAGACAGCCTCAACTTATTTTATAATGTTCACTGTTTTACATGAAGTGTTTAACTCAAAATTTATTGAATTCATTTTTAAAACATTAAGATCCAGTGAGTACTTTTAAAAACAGTTTCAAAAATCTTTGAGTCAATTTAAAAAAAAACCAACATATTTTAAGGTTATAACATGTCAAAGTATTTATCTTTAACAAAAGCCCTAATTACTTTGTAAAATGATGAAGCTCCAACCTTAATAAATCGCCATGACTTGATTTGACACTTATAATAATAGCCTGCTGTAAGCTTGTAGAGGGTAAATGTATTACTCGCTGAGCCCTGTTTGTATAGCAGCACAGCTAATAGTGACCTTTCAACTGTCCTGCCCTTGACTGAGACCTCTGCTGGTAAGCCACCTCTTTGGCTCACTCAGCACATGTGCTGCTGAGCGGGGCAGAGCAGCTTATGGCCGTGCCGTCTTTTCCTGCCCCCCCCCCCGTGTGCTCTTCCAAACGAGGCCTGACTGGATGGAGGTCTCTTCAACTCTGCAGCCTGGACCACAGCGGAGAATCAGCAGGAAGAACCTGGAGTAGAGCACTATATGGCTAATCTGCTTTCACCCCACTTCTGACTGTGAATGTGATTAGAAACTAACATATAGAGTCGCCAAAGTAGTGTCCTTAAAGAACAGAATAGTTACTCCATATCATGTATTTACTATTTAAAAAACAAACAAAGATAAAGCTACCAGCTACTTTGATGAGTTTTGACAACAGGCTGCTGTGCTGTGGCATTTGCACTACTTGTGGTTTGGGGGATGGCAGGCTGTGATGCATGCAGCAGAATTAAGGTGATGACTTTGAGAATCCAAGTCATTTAGCACCTTTCTATGATACCTCCTCCTCCTTGTTTGTTTTCTAGACTGCAAAAGAAAAACCACAGTTTCACACCGTTCATCATCTTAAAAGTGAGTGGGCTCTACGCTTGGAGGCCATGTAACCCCAAGGTGTGTTTTCCTGTGGTTTGGTTTTTGTCACTTTTTAATCGTCTCTTTTTCTTTCTTTTTTTTAAACACATTTGCCCATATAAGATACAAAATGGTGAGGGACTTGGTTCCTCCGTGCTGGTATTAAGTTGGTTCTTGTAGAAAGCAAAACTAAAAAGGAAGTTAAGAAAGACATCTCTTTGCTGAGTTGCATTTTAACTGAATTTTAATGAGACTTTGAAAAAACATAAATCAAAGGAATACATTATAATCTAATTTACTAGATCAAAAGATCTCCCATGATTGCTAATATACCCCACTGTAT